CCTGGTGCATGGGATTTTTTTATCTTCTATAATTGAAACTTTGTAGCCTTGAGTGGAGCCCACAGCTGGCCAGGGCAGGCGGGAAGCTTGGCTTCCTCCATTGCCAGGGGCAACCTAAGCCTCCTGTTTACTCCAGCTCCATGGCTGCCGCCATCTTTGTGACGGACTGGCGGAGTGAGGGAGTGATGGTTAATTTGCTTATTACTCTTTTATTAGATAGGATGGGACTACTGTCATATATGAAGTCCATCATTAAGCAAAATGTTGTTACATGGCATAGGACTATATAACAATGACAATAATTGATTTTCCTGGTATATTATCGACACAATGGATATAATTTAAAGATACTTAGAAATAAGCAATTTCTTTAAAATAGTAAAAGTATACCTTGGTGGTAAGTTACAAAGTGTTCTCAGTTCTTCCAATTTACTCTTCATGTCATTGTTTTCTTCTATTAATTCTTCAACAACTTTACTATTCTCTTCTAAAAAAGAAGTTTATAGAATATTGATCAATTAAATCTCTTTTTTTCTCAGCCTCCTGTTCCCTTATGTTCACAACCCAAATGTTTATGGAGGAAACTACAGGATTTCCAGTTGCTCCCTGTGCCATTCATTCCCTGATGAGCCCTAACCTGACCACTCCTGTTCTGTTTTCTTAGCACTTAAAATCTGTGCTGCTTGTTCATCTTGCTTTGGGTGACACACTGCTCTGCAAGGGTTTCCAATTGTTTCAGAGGCATCTCTTTTGTTTTCCAGCTAGACTGAAGCTCTGCAGAAACTACTAGGTTTTCTAATTCCCAGTTCCCGTGGATCCTGGTGTACAGTCTATGATCATATCAATGATCACTGAACAAGCACCTCAAAACAACATTTTTTTTAAAATCAAGCTTAAGAAGCCACTGTTTTCAGAACGAAGGTCAGATTTTTTAATTCTTTGAACTTTAAAAAAGATGAGGAGACTGATGGAGTCCATGAATTTCAGTCAGTGACACAGGTTTAAATACTAACTCTACTTTTTACCAGTTGGATGAGCTTAGGCAAATTTCTTAATCTGAACCTGAGTTTTTTCGTTGGAAAAATGGGGATAGTATTACCTACTTTGAAGATTATAACAGAGATAAAACAATAAGTGCACAGCACTGTACATGGGCCTGGCAATACCATTGTTTGTGAAGTACAAACCTGGCACCACATGTATCCTACT